CCCGAAACAGCATTCAGCTAATCTGGAGTTATATACAGCCTAATAACCAGCACATCAACTTAATATAAAATGCAACTGAGAAAACTTACGACTGTTTTTGAGGATTTCCAGCACCTGAATTAAGACTTCAGGTTGTGTCATCTGAACAGACATAAGAAAAGGTCACTGCTGTCATTGTGCTTTTGTGTTAAGAGTAAATGGATTGCAAACTATTAGCAGCAGACTTACTGAGGGAGGGTAGGTGACATCAATGTTGATATCACTTGTCTTGAAGGCAAAACGGGTAAGACACGAACCATAGAGACGGAGCGAACAAGCTGGAAACCAAAGAATCAACGTCAGGCAGATCTATAGTCTACGCAGAATAACTCTCACAGAAAGACTGCCAACTGTCAATAAAGATAAAATCAAGGAATTGACTGGATGCGATCACATCATACAACCTGTGAGGTGTTTCTGTATAATGATCTCCATCCTGCTGACCACTGTCTTTCGAATCTCAAAGTCTTCATCTGATATCCCTTGCTGCCTGGCAGTTTCTAGGACAGCGGCATTGACAGCCCACAGCTGAGCAGCAGAAGGAGGTGGCAGGGCACGCAGCTCGTTTTCCTCTTGTTTCTCCTAACATGTCACAAGCAGAATGTGTAAACTATTTTAAAATCTTCCTATCAGTCCACTCAGATAAACACCAGCACACCACAAGTACTTTACCATTATGTTTTTTTTGTGTCTCTTTTCCTTGATGTGTTTGTGTGCTCCTTGAATGTTCTCAATGTGCACAGAGCACAGCTTGCATATGTACTGGTAGTTTGGGTACTCAGGGGACTGCTGTAAAAACAAAGACATAGGCAATCAATTTATGTTCTCTACATGTGGGGGATTTGTTATTTGGATCTTCCAGCTTATAATTAAACATTGGATCTCACCTTGCCATGCTGAGTGGAGATTAAAAAAAAAAAAAAAGTGCCCAGTACAAAAAAACCAAAAACACACATTCTGAAAATGACTCAAAGTAACAGAAGAATGAAATAGCGAAAATTAGGAAGAACAGATCCTGTTATACATCCTGTTTAAAAACTGAATGTTCATATCAAACATTATCAGGGCTTCATAAAAATAAGCTCAGCTTATGTACAGGAAATTCCCATCAGCCAAAACCTTCCGACTACTCTAGAATGTGTTTCAGGCCGTCTTTGCTAAGTATGATCTTAGAGACAGTGAACAGTTTGGGTTTGGTTTGTATTTTAAAGAGGAGCAGCCAATTAGATGAACTAAGGGGCTTCACCATGGTCCAAATGGTAGAAAAATACGATAATGCGTCCAGTTTAAACTGAGCTCAATCTTGAGTTTACTCAGACTTTTCTATTAGAATGAGCCTTTTAGTCTTTTTTCCCCATTTATATGAGACAGAAATGATTAGCCATTAATGATCAGTGCATCAATGTTTAATTAGAATGATCACATTTAGGTTAGCACCAAAAATGAAAATGAGATTTAACACATGATCTGCCTGTGTGCTACTATTTTTTTCCCATGTTTAATTTAACTAGACAATTAGATAATTATTATAGTACAGTAGCAATCTGCTTTATAGCTAAATTGTAAGCTGATTTATTCCAATGTAAAGGCAAGACCTTACTGCCAAAATGTCCTCAAGCTTTAGTTAACCCTTTATTTACAGAAGAGCCATTCCATTTGGATATTTTCATTTGTGCTGCTGTTTATGAAAATAAGTGTATCATAAAAATACATGTATCTCAAAAATAAAGTTATGAACACATTCAAATTAAGATGCTTTTTAAAATTTTTATACATGTGGAAAAATGCAAATTAAAAAAAATTATTGCACTGTCTAGTAATTTAGCAATTCTGGACCTATTACATACATATTATTAAAATTTGGTATACAAAGGTTATACTGAGTGGTTTTCTCACTTTCAGCAGTCGGTAGATGTAGTCTCTGCGGAGACGCTCCTCTGCCTGTCGGAGGCCCAGCTGTTGCTCTGTGAGAGGTCCTTCCTCCACAGTGGGCCTCACCTCTGGGCCCTCTTGCACAGACTGATTCATCAGCGTTGCGGCTTTCAACACTAAAAAAACAGCAAACACAAAGCACTTTACTGGAGTTCTATTTGATGAAGAAGACTTCTTCATTTCAGGAAAAATGCTTTACAACCCACCTTGGGATTTTTCTTTTGCCAGGGCTCTAGTAGAGCTCCTAGCCTGCTCTGTAAGCCCTTTGTCAGGGGTAACAGGCACTACAGAAGAGCTGCTCTCTTTGTTTGCTGAGGGGCTGCTGTCTGCAGAAAGAGATGTTCTGGACTCAGAAGCCTGTGGCACCAGGTGCTGCTGTAAGCTTGCCCCTTTTCCTTTGCCTCTCTCCCCAGAACCCGTTCTTCCAGTCAGCCTACTCAATCTGGATGGCCGACCTCTTCTCTTGTCCTGGGGAGTATCTGTAGAAGTCTTGCCTTGCCCACGGCTAACCTGGCTGCCTATATTATGTTCATCCTTGGCAGTCGTGCTGTTTTCTTTGCTGCGGCTTGCAGACTTATGACCCTCTCTCTGCACAAGAGTCTCTTTATTTGATTTCTCAGTGGATAAAGCTTTAGCTCCTCTGAGCTGAGACTGTTTGACTGGCTTTACTGGACTTAAGGACTCATCCATCCCTTTGTTTCTTCTGCTCTTATTCCTGGTGGAGTCAACACCACACTGAAGATGGCCAGGGAGGCAGGCCACCCAAAGTCTATGAAAAGAAGAAAAAATAAATTGTATCTGCAGTGAAATAATGTGTTGTGCATTGTTTTAACAATTCAGGTGAAGCTGACTAGCCGAATGCATATGTAAACTTTGAATGAGTAACTTAGAGAAAAATCTTTAGTTCATAATTGTTAGTTTATTGTTTATTTAAAACTTGTTTTTTTTAATAACAGATTTTTTTCCCTTTATTTTTTAAAAGAGTTGAGTTTGACTCATTAAAAAGGTGAATAACCAAGTTATAAATAAATAAGGAAGTGTTGAGTTAATTTTGGGTCAGATCTTTACCTTTTACTCTTTTGTTTAAAGGATTTATCATTGTTTAAAAGTAATAAAGATGAGCGGGGGGCGTTACAGAACAACTTTAACTTTGTCTTTAGAGTTCAAACAGATCATTTTTATTATGCATTGTCCACGCTGAACACAGAAAATCCCAGAGCCAAGTTACCAAGTGAGCACATCAATAAGTTTTTATGAAATCAAACTAAAATATCTTGTGAGCACACTAAACAAAAACTATGACAGATGTGCACATACAGTACAATTTATAAAACTCGTTTGTAATATTCTCAGTTAAAACAAAAATCGTTTAGCACAGAGATCCACACTGCTGCTAATGATCATTTTCATTCGTCATAAAGCAACAGACCAATTTGTCTATAAAATGCTGAAATTAATCAAACAAAATTTAGCATCGTAGTTCCAACGTAATCAAACTAGCGTTTTTAGATCAAACACAAATGCCAAATAGACAGTTTACCACCCTGATTGCTTTTCCCCCAGGTCTGTTCCTGGAAATCCACCTCCACTATCGCAGTTGGAGATTAATTTCGTTTTACAGTAAACCACAAGTTAGGGGTTGCAGACATTACTACTCACTGGGGCTTCCGTGTGTTTCAGTTTAGAGAAAAACAAACTTAAACACAACACCGAAAGCTAACACACACAGTTAGCTAAACTTCCGAGCAACAAATAAGGGAGGAAGATGCCATCACGCAGAGAAAAAAAATATGCGTTAAAATAGAATTAACTTAAAAAGCTTACCATTAAAGGTTAAATGTACCGTCTTACGTTATGGGAATGCTTCACGCTTACTTCCTGGGGTTGCTTTGCTCTGCAGAGTACGTTGTTAGCCCTCTCCGTAATGTTACTGAGGTTAGCTGCGATGCCCGGTCGTCCGCCTGAGCTAGCTACGGGAAATAAATAATACTGGTACTCACTTACTACACAGCAGCAAGTCATAAAAAACACAAAGGAGACGCTTAAACCATTGCACCACAACAGAGCACGCACTGACTTACTTTCGAACTCTTAAGTTGATTCGAAATTATTGTTTAGCTATCTCCATGGTTCTGGTCTACATAATGTTTTCAAATCCCACGGCCCTGGTCAAAACAGCAAGCATTGACGCCATGTTAATACATTACCCCGCTGCATTGTGGGAGTGCCAGTGATGATGAAGAGGGGCGTGTTTCGTGCCGCGTTCATGTACTACTAGGAAGGTCCTTGGTTTGTATACAACACCCTTTCTCTCTCTCCCTCTCCCCCCCCCTATATATATATATATATATATATATACACACACACACACACATTAGTGAAGCTGTGAAGAGTGTTATGTTGCTTGTAGCATCATTCTGCCCTTCACTTAAGTATCTAAAGCACAGTGCCCAGCAATTTCCCTTAGAATAGTTATCCCTGAATCAGAAACATATAAATTCTCATTCATCCTCCTCTCAATCATCTGAATTTTTGCTCTGTTTTCAGCAAGAAACACCTAAAGAGTAAAAGCTGAACTTATGCTATATTATTTTTGTTGATAGGCCTACGTCATACTTGCCCTAATCCTCCCTCATCAGGTTAGCAGGTTTCTGAGTCAATAATTTGCGCTGCTCTTGGTATAATGCTGGTTACTAAGTGCTGAAATACACTGGCTGGTCTTTATATATAAATTAAAGAACACTGTTAATAGATCACACTGTGATTGCAGCATCACAGTCATTTGCTTTGCTTAATAAACCTGTCCCATAGCCTCTAAAATAAAATAGCTACATTGTATCATAGCCATAGACATCCTACTTCAGGATGTCTGTGGCTAAAATAAAATTCCCTCCATTATTTTTCGCAACTGACACACACACAAGAACACACACACACACACACACACTACACACAACACACACACACACACAACACACACCCATATACATATATATATATATTATAATATATATATATATATATATATACTATATAATATTATTATATAATATAAATATATATACTATATGACAAACCTTAATCTTACAGAGCTTTTAATACACTTCTCAGTTCACGCAGTTCATGATCTACACCGAGAGTTCATGAAAATCTGTGTTTTTCATGCAAGGTAACAACTGGGCAAGAGTCAGCATGAATTGTAAAATACGGCTATAAATGATAATGATCTGTGTTGCTTTGTCAACTTTGTTGGAGGAATGTATGGTCCATTGCTATGAATTATGAAATGGCATTTTTTCCTCTCTTTTCATAAAGGATGATCCCAGTTTATACTAAAAGTGGCGATAAAGCAACTATTTCCTTAGTATTTGGTAGTATTTGGACAATTAGAACTGCTCCAAGGCGCCACACAGATACTTCTGGGTCACTGCTCTCATGTAGGAACCTTCCTGAATAAAACTGGAATGCACCCTAAACTGGGCCTCAGGTCCGTTATTCTGAGACATCAAGACACACTTTCCTCACGGGTTTACAGGCTAAATTGCTCGTTTCTGCTCATACCGAATACAACCGAAGACCAATAAGACTTTTATTTTTGTTAAGCGCTTCCTGCCCAGGAAACGCTGATCGCTGTGTGTAGCTTGAGTGCAGAGGAGGTGCGCAGACTGCTGGTGACTGCGGGGCGGACGGAGAAAGACTGCAGGAGTTTATCTTGGTTCCGCTGGTGTTGTGTTGGTGGTTTGACTGCAAAGATGTTCCCTGCAGTGCTCACAGTGTTACTGACTTTCTTCAGCCTCGCTGAAAGCAAACAGAAAGACGTTTATACTTTTAAAGTTGTGAATAGCAGGGGTAAGCTGGTATCTCTGGAGAAATATCGGGGTTCGGTAAGTACGACTCACAGCAGCTTAAACTACAGATGTTAGAGCGCAGTTTCTCGGCACGCCAGCCCTTTGCTTGAATGAATGTTGCATGGGAATGTTGGCTTCTTTCTTTCTTTTACTTCTCTCCATGAAATGTTGTTTGTAGATGTAACTAACACAGCAGTGATGAGAATCAGTTTGATTGTGGGCTGCTGGTGGGGATGTCCCGTCACGTAGCCCGGATAGCCTACGTGGCAGGCCTGCAGCCCCTGAAGCTGCAGAAAGTGCTGAGATTTCATTCAAACAAGTTACGGATCACCAGACCGCGTTAGCCCTAATCTGTCTGAAGACTTCACTCTATCTTCACTCTATCCGTCATCAGAGGTAACGGAACATACACGAGTTTGGTTTTTACCCCAGTTATTACAATAACTGTTGATATACACCTAAATAAAAATAAATAAACGTAATAATGCAACAATGATGTATATTACATATGACAACCTTTATATAAAATGATAATAATAAGACAAACTGCATCTTTTTTGACTTAGCTGTCTTTGACTTTATTTGCTTCCAAATTCTTAATCATGGAGCTTTAAATGATTATTATAGACGGTATCTTTCAAAAAGATATCCTTTTTGTAATAAGGTGAAAGACTCTCTGGATTTTGTTTTAACCATAAACACAAACAGACAAATTAAACTATAAATCTTTCACACACTACAGGTGAATGAACACAGTTTGTACACCACAGAGCTGTAGCGGTGCACTTTTTAAGGAAGAGTTACTGTAACTAGTACAGTGCCTAAATGGGTTGAGTGTACGTAAAGTTCCAATTTACATTTCATGTCAGCAAGGAATAATTAAATGTAAAAGCAAGACTGAAAACTGGTGTTCCATTACACATGAAAACTTTGCTGGACCTGCTGTGCTGCCATGTAGATTGGGCAAACAACCATTAAGATAAGACACTTGCTCACACACTGACATTCAAAGATGTTCAGTAATACGTACTGGATACCAAAGACAAGCAAAGCTATAGTCTAAAAAGTGAAGCTAGTGGGAAATACTTTTAAACCTGCATTCTTTTTCTGTGAGTCCAAAAAATGGATGATCTTTGAACCAGTTGAAGACAACAGTAGCACAGCATGATAGTTATTCACTGCATCTCACTTCAAAATGTTATATTCAGTTTCAGTTCAGTTGTATTTATAGTGTTAAATCACAACAAAAGCCACCTCAAGACACTTTATATTACAAGGCAAAGACCATCCAATATTAGAAAAATAACCCTAATAATTAGGGTAAGCACTTCTACATAACATCTGCAGCAGTATAATGTCAAGGACTTGTTTGAACCATTTTCCCTTGATGTCCTTATGCACATCCCATAGTTGAAAACAGTCGAACAGAGTCACTCTCATTTAATGGGTTATTGTGTTTTCCGTCTCCCCTCCTCCATCCTACCTTACCTCACCTCACTCTTTTCACACCCTCTTCTCATTCTATATGCATGTGTGTCACACATTATTATTAAGTTATAAAAATAAGATATCGGCACTTTGTGACTTTGTACTTTGTGACTAATAAATCAACACCAGCTGCTTCTTCAGTGAGATCCACATTCTGTGGATGAACTCCCACTCCACTGTCGCAGATTCCAGCATGCTGATTATAGTCCTTGATCATACTGTAGTGTAACTGTGGTTTCTTGTATTTTGTTCGAGTTTTTTGTTTGTTTTGTTTTATTTTAACTAGAGTTGTGCTTTGTGTGATTTTGGGGTGCATTTCTATTTGCTGGTGTTTTCTTGACCTCTCAGGGCCACTGTATAAAAGGCATCAAGGACTGCCAAAACAGCAGCCCTACCAGTGACAGCATACCAGTAAAGAAAACATAAGGCAATGGGTTGGCTTGTCCACTAGTAAACTGAGTGCAGATAAGGCTTTATTAGATGGCTAGATTATAGAAGTAGAAGGTACAGGACAGACTGGGGCTGCTGTTGACATACACCTATAGGAAAAATGCTTTGTTTGTATGAAACTTTAATGCCAGCAATTTTGCCAGCAAATGATCATCCACGAGAAATCACGGGTGGCAGACAGTAACTTTAATTCAAAAAATGGGAGTCATCCAATGACCCCGTACACTACCTTCTCAGCATTACACCCACTAAGTTTGAAGTTAATCATATTAACTGTCTTTGAGATATGGTACCAGACACATAAAGAGCTTAATTTATTAGAGATGTGGATATTTTCAGTATCCCATGTCATATATGTCAGACTTGCAATTGTATTATCTTGACACCAGATGTCACTAGATGATAAGATTACACACTGCTTTCTCAGGAAGCCATACTTCTGCAGTGATGATCTTCTGTAGTTTAACTGCGAGTTAAAGTATGAAGCTGTGACATGTATTAATGTGTATTAGGATACTTATTAGTCTCTGTATCTGTGAATGGCGTCTGTAACGTGTAAAGGCCTAAATCACAGTTATCTGTGGTTCAAATAATTAGTCAATCAGTGGGACGGCCAGACTTCACTTTTGCTTTTTTTGAAGAAGGAGCCTGTCTGTCTGTCTGTACACAGTGGGGCAATATGTGTGTGTGTGTGTATATATATATAAAAGATGACAGAGGCCTGTAATTTTCATCATAGATATACCTCAACTATGACAGACAAAATGAGAAAAAAATATCCAGAAAATCACATTGTCTGATTTTTAAAGAATTTCTTTGCAGATTGTGGTGGAAAATAAGTATTTGGTCAATAATAAAAGTTCATCTCAATACTTTGTTACATACCCTTTGTTTGCAATGACAGAGGCCAAATGTTTTCTGCAAGTCTTCAAGGTTTTCACACACTGTTGCTGCTATTGTGGCTTATTCCTCCGTGCAGATCTCCTCTAGAGCAGCAGTCCCCAACCTTTTTTGCGCGATGGTTTATGTCCGACAATATTTTCACGGACTGCAAGATGTCGTGGATAAATACAACAAAATAAAACCAGTAGCAGTACCAAAAAAAAAAAAAAAATTCATAACACACGGGAAAACACCCAGGGAAACAGAGTTAACAATAAAAACAATAAAAAACAATGATAAAAACCAATAAAAATCATAAAAAAAATTCACACCCAAGCCTCAACTCCGGAACCAAATGACTCATGGTCCGGTACTGGTCCGTGGCCCAAGGGTTGGGGTCCGCTGCTCTAGATCAGTCATGTTTTGGGGCTGTCGCTGGGGAGTCTTTGTCTGGCCTGTGAGCCTTCTAGGACTGGGCGATATATCAAGTTTTTTTTTAAAAAAATATCGATATATTTTCGTACGAGATATAAGATGTGACAATATCGTTTATATTGATATAGTATATGTTACGTTATAATTATACTCGTGGAGCCGCAAGTTTGCATCTCTTTCATCCACTTTTGTTTCTCTGCAACGTTACTGGGCCTCGCCTCTCCTTCACTGAACACAACTCCCCCTCCCCCATCGCTTCACCTGCATGCAACGGCAAGATGGACACGGCAAATCTCCGTTAACGAGTTACCGCGGATCGCCCCGTGCGTGAGGCTGGACGGCGTCAACGTGTTAGCGAGCTAACCGCGCTAACGACATGCATGGCCTAAAATCCTTTCATTTTCTGTATGTATGAATTCTGGTTGTGCCTACTGACCGCGAACCGATTTTATGTGGTACACGGCGCTCAGCAATCTGTCAAAAAATGTTTTAGTTCCACTTTGGAAAGCTACGGAGCTGCACCGCTTGATGGATTGTCGGAGCATTACGGTGTAGGCTACCGTATTCCGGAGCCTCGCGGAGTGATACGTACTGTGCTTCAACGTAATATTACCGTATTGTGTGTGTATAAGCACCATAAATGGCACCTGTTAAGAGACACGGTTATGAAGCAGATTTCAAACTCCAGGCTGCCAGTCACGCAGTACAACTTGGGAAAAGAGCAGCTGTGAAATCTGTCTTTGTTATGCTCAGCGTCTTTTAGTTTACATTTTGACTGCACAATTGTGAGCTTTTTGTTATGCACAAAAACAACATTGTTTTCTTTTATTTATGGAGCATTATTATTTAATAAATGCTGATAATTTATTTTCGAGTAATTTCTTCATGTACATCTACGCTGTATGTTAATAAAAGTGCCTGTGTGACATCTGGGACACAGCTTTGACTAAGAACTCTCTTTTTGTTCTTACCTTATGGCTTAAAAAAATATCGAGATATATATTGTATATCGCCATCCAGCTAAAAAATATCAAGATATGAATTTTGGGTCATATCGCCCAGCCCTAGTGCCTTCTCCACTTTGCTGTCCATCTTCACTGTCACAGTGCAATAAAGACAAAAATAGTCTAAAAAGAGACAACTAAACAAACAATTTTATATCAGATATGGTCTCAGTGAAAGTAACCGTTATTTAACATAAATTGATGAAAAAATATCCATATCTGTTTCAGTTATAGCAGGTGGCCTCTTCACTGAATGTGTCATCCTCAGCAGCCTTGTAAAATTGGTCAATGGCAACCTTTAACTAACACATATAGCTTTATAGATCCAACATATACTGTACAGTGGGGTGATTCAATCCAGTGGTTGCCAACTTTATGTGAACTACATGCAAATAAAACTGCAAGTAGTTCATTTAATTATGCATGTTTAAAGAAACATATATACTGACACATATTAAGCTAGGAAAGCTTTTGTGGTGTTTTTACAGTGTTTTCTGGTGGCTTTAGGTTTCCCTGGTGGTAAACGTAGCTAGTGAATGTGGCTTCACTGAGGAACACTACAATCAACTGCAGCAGCTCCAGCGGGACTTTGGTCCATATCACTTCAATGTGCTAGCCTTCCCCTGTAACCAATTTGGACAGCAGGAACCTGGCAGTGACAAGGAGATTGACAGCTTTGTGCGCAGAGTCTACGGAGTCTCCTTTCCTCTGTTCAGCAAAATTGCTGTTGTTGGCACTGGAGCCAACAATGTCTACAAGTACCTTCTTGGTGAGTAACTGCCTCTCTTGGAGGGGGGGGTTATGAGAGAGCAGTCGTGTGCGGTGTAGAAAAAAGAGAGGGGAAAAATAGAAACCTTTGAAGCAAAACTTAAAACAAAAAATGTTTTTTTAAAAGGTTACAAGCTTACACGAACCTGTTATTACGACATCTATGTCATTTAATCTTTTACAGAGGCATCTGGAAAGGAGCCTGACTGGAATTTCTGGAAGTATCTGATTGACGTTAACGGCAAAGTGGTGGATGCATGGGGACCAAAAGTCTCTGTCAAAGAAATTCGCCCTAAAATTGCTGAAATGGTGCGGCAAATAATCTTGAAGAAGAAAGAAGAGCTTTAACACATTTCGCTTCGCTTCAAGACTCTACTTAATGTTAATACCACAGGGAAACTGTGGCAGGTTTGAGCAGAAAATGAGTCACTGCTTTGGTAACATTACACTAAAGCCATGGCTTATTCATTTGTGTTAAGGAAGTAAAACGATTTGTGGTAGGTCTTGTTTGTAGCTATGAATAATTTTTTAAAAAGGTGGCGCTACAGGAAATAGAAGATCAAATACACTGGGGATTGAGGCAATATAAGGTGTGATCAAGCAGCAACCCTCAGGCCAAAGAAAGGTTCCAAACATTCCTTAAATAGCTACACGAAGCTGGCTCCAAAATGCGTCAGTACTTTTGGCTCGCATGTCTAAAAATCCTTGCAGGATTAAAAAGCACACACTGGAACAAAAATTGTATTTGGCCTCTAATGATATCTAGGGGTGTGGCTGCTTTAATCGACAGGTATGCTAATTTAAGTCTCACAACCTTCTCTCAGTGTTTGTGGTGTTGGAGTTTATCCAAATTGATCAGCTACAACTGTACTTCTTTACTTGATCGTCTTAGTAAGATTCAAAGCTCCTAAATGTGTTATGGAAATTTTCATCTTTCTGACACCTAAGTTAAAGTGTACTGTAACAGAAAACTTAATTTGTCTTGAATCTGTACTAAATTTTCCACAATTTCATTGTAATTTCTTTCCTCTACTTACATTTTATTGTTCTTATTGTCATTCTTCCCATGCTTTGCTCTGGTTATATTTAGAGTTCCTTCAGTTGTCCAAGCCAGTAGTATTAAATAGTACATGGTCTCTTCTTTTCTGTTCAGCAACTGATTTAATTGGCATATGAATAATTGATCAGTAGTTACAAGACAAATGTCTATATTATTAATTAAATGTTAAGCAAAAATGAACAAAAATATTTTTGTCGGTTCATTTAAAATGTTTGGACCCCAGATTGATTGGATGGCGGAAGTAGTGGACCTCCAGCTATTTTAATAGGGGACCCCTGAGATAGTCTATATAATTATTAAATTGAAACAATTATTTGAGTTTAACATAAGGAAATGTTAGTTAGTGACCGATTAGCCTAGTGACCTTTCCGTGTTTCTCATAATAAACCATTTCAGTGCCTCATCTTCAGCTGCAGGTCTAAACATCCTTCAGTTCAGTTCAATGCAGTTAGAGCAGTAAGGCAAGGCAAGGCAAGTTTATTTGTATAGCACAATTCAACAACAAGGTGATTCAAAGTGTTTTACAGAGACATTAGAAACAAGAACAAATAAAAAGCATGATTTAAAACTGATTAAAACAAACAAACAAACAAACTAATTTACAAACAAAACAGTATATAAAATCAGAACAGTAGATAAAATCAGTAGTTAAATGTAAGTTTTGAAATTTAAGCTTAAAAGTGTGAATTTGGTGCTTTATTCAAATGCAGCTGAGAATAGGTGAGTCTTCAACCTGGATTTAAATAAACTGAGTGTTTCAGATGATCTGAGGCTTTCTGGGAGTTTGTTCCAGATATAAGGAGCATAAAAGCTGAATGCAGCTTCCCCGTGTCTGGTTCTGACTCTGGGAACTGATAAAAAACCGGATCCAGATGACCTGAGGGATCTGGAAGGTTCATACTGGGTCAGGAGGTCACTGATGTATTTTGGTCCTAAACCATTCAGAGCTTTATAGACCAGCATCAGAACTTTAAAGTCTATCCTCTAGCGGACAGGCAGCCAGTGTAAAGACCTCAGAGCTGGACTGATGTGGTCCACTTTTTTGGTCTTAGTGAGGACTCGAGCAGCAGAGTTCTGAATGAGCTGTAGTTGTCTGACTGATTTTTTCGGTAGACCTGTAAAGATGCTGTTACAGTAATCAAGCCTACTAAAGATGAATGCATGGACTAGTTTTTCCAGGTCCTGCTGAGACATCAGATCTTTTATCCTTGATATATTCTTGAGGTGATAGTGAGCTGATTTTGTTATTGTCTTAAAGTGTTTTTCTAAGTTTAGGTCTGCATCCATCACTACACCCAAATTTCTCGCCTGGTTTGTGGTTTTTAGGTGTATAGATTGAAGTTCTCTGGTGACCTGTAATCGTTTTTCTTTGGCACCAAAGACTATTACCTCAGTTTTGTTTTTGTTTAGCTGGAGAAAATTGTGGCACAACCAGTCATTAATTTCCTCAATGCATTTACCAAGAGCCTGTACAGGGCCTCGGTCTCCTGGTGACATTGTGATATATATTTGTGTGTCATCTGCATAGCTATGATAGTTTATTTTGTTGTTCTTTATAATCTGTGCCAATGGGAGCATGTAAATGTTAAACAGAAAGGGTCCCAAGATGGAACCTTGGGGAACTCCACATGTGATACTTGTCTGCTCAGATGTGAAGTTACCTATTGATACAAAGTATTTCCTGTTTTCTAAGTATGTTTTGAACCAGTTTAATACAGTTCCTGAAAGACCTGTCCAGTTCTCCAGTCGTGGAGCTTTACTGCTAATGTTCAGACATTAGCAGTAGAGCTAATGTTTGAACTACAGAACTGACTTTAATCAGCATTCAAGCTCATAGTGAGTTCTGTAGTCAAAAATCATTTATTTGTACCGATTAGCTAATGAACATGGCTTTCCCCAACACCCAACTGCTCATCCTCGCTAAAAACCATAAGGGGGAAAGCATAAGATGCTAGTTACTGCAGCCCCAAACAATGACATTCCACCACCATGCTTGACTGTAGGCAAGACACACTTGCCTTTGTACTCCTCACCTGGATGCCGCCACACACCCTTGACACCATCTGAACCAAATAAGTTTATCTTGGTCTCATCAGACATGTCCTTAGTCTGCTTGTCTTTAGCAAAATGTTTGCGGGCTTTCTTGTGCATTATCTTTAGAAGAGGCTTCCTTCTGGGACGACAGCCGTTTGATGCATTGTGCGGAGCGTATGGTCTGAGCACTGACAGGCTGACCTTTCACACCTCCAACCTCTGCAGCAATGCTGGCAGCAATCATACATCTATTTTCAAAAGACAACCTCTATGATGCGAAGCATGTGCACTCAACTTCTTTGGTCAACCATGGCGAAGTTATGTTAGGTTCTGACTGGAACCTGTGCTGTTAAACTGCTGTATGGTCTTGACCACCATGCTGCAGCTCATTTTCATGGTGTTGGCAATTTTCTTATAGCTTAGGCTATCTTTATGTACAATAACAATTCTTTTTATCAGCTCCTCAGAGAATACTTTCCTATGATGTGGCATGATAAACTTCCAGTGACCAGTGAGAGAGTGTGAGAGCAATAACATCAAATTCAACACACCTGTTCTTTATTTGTGCCTGAGACCTTGTAAAACTAACGTGTCACATGACTCCTGGAAGGGAAATGACAAACTGGGCACAATTTGGACATTTTACTTTAGGGGTATACTCACTTTGAAGCAGATTTTAATCAGGCTGGTACAGTTATGTTCAGCCAGTTCTTAATTGCACTGGAACATGTGACAATGATTAAAAGCTACACTTCAGCTATTAGCAGTGGCTCAAGGTCAAAGTAGCCATTCATTTTACCTGAATTCTCGAATCTCTCTCTTCCTAATTATGTCCCTATTTCAGTCATTTTACTTGTTGGTGTAGGTATTATGGGCACCTGAGATGAAATTCCCTCTGTTTGAAAAACTGAAATATATGCAAGTATTTGATGTTTAAATTTATAGGTGCCAATTTTTTGTATCTGAAGCGGCACAAGTATTACCTGTTTTATATAAACATGTAAAGAATAATCTTCTTTTTTTAATACTATACCATTAGGCTGAATGTATGTTTGTTTGTTTAGAAATAAATATGCTAAATGATGTCCCTGTGTGGTGAGAATGAAATAGCTTTAAGACTAAAGCATAGATTTTGATGTTACAGACCTGATCTGATATTTCCCCATTAAAATGTAGTTACCAATCTCCACTTTGCTTTTAGTGTCATTGTGAAGGCTCTTGGCTATTGGTGAGTGTTCAAACTGTATGTACTTTAGTTAAATGGTAAATTAGTTAAACTACTACTAAAGTACATTTGCTTGACTTGATGTACTTACCTACGTTAACTGTAATGACTATTAACAGAATACATTGTTTTAACAAAGTAAATGATGAGACTATTTCGGATTTTTCAAGTGCTTATCTGAGTCAACACAGTGAGGAGTGCCAGAGGAAACAGAATACCCAACCACAATCAAGAGGATACATTCCCAACCCACGGAGGTAGATACTACAGATTACACCCATAATTTAGGAGTGGAGTGGATGGAATGTCACACACGCAGTTCTGACTAAAACCTCATTGTGCACTTGTGGAATCAGCGTGAGGGTTGTTTGTGTCACAGTGACCAGCACAATCACTTTCAATGACTTGTGACAAATGCTGGTTGAAAAATGGGATGCCAACCCACACCAGTGTGTGACCAAGCTGGTAACCAGCATGAGGAGGAGATGCCAGGCTGTTGTGACTGTGTATCAGTCACAACAGCCTGTCAGGAAAGGTAACTCCAGTATCAACTTCGGTCTATTAAACATCCGCTCCCTCACTGGTAAGGGACATCTCATCCAGGATCTCCGATCGTAAGTTGGATTTTCTTTGCCTGACTGAAACGTGGCAACAGCCCAATGATTTTGTTTCTCTCAATAACTCCATTCCATCTGAGTTTGTTTATACCTGTCAACCTCGCAACTCGGGGAGGGGCGGGGGTCTCGCGATAATTCACCGGAAGCACTGGAAAGTTCTCCCTGTCTCTGCCCCTCTCTCCCATTCATTTGAAAACATTGCATTACAGCTCCCTGGATCTATCCCCACCAGTATATGTATATCGGCCACCTAAGCCAAATAAGGAGTTTTTAAATGAATTTGCTGCTCTACTCACTCATTTCTCTATACTTTCTCTAAATCTGATAATTGTTGGTGACTTCAATATTCATATGGACAGTGACAAAATCCCTCTTTCCAGAGATTTTACCCCCTGCCTGGAAAGTTTTGGGCTTCTACAGTACATAAAGTTTTCTACTCATTCTAAAGGACATATCTTGGATTTGCTCTGTTGTTGTGGTATTACCCCTACACATTGTAAAGACACATTGTTTCCCCAGTCTGATCACATGTTTATTTCTTTTAATGCAAACATAACCACTTTCAAAACCTGTACTCCTCGTAATATCACTTTTAGGAAAATTAGTAATATTAACCCAGCTGTTTTTTCATCTGCCATCCATGACCTTCCATCTATCCACAGCTCCTCAACCCCTCATGAACTTGTTTCTCATTATAATGTCAACCTCCATAACCTTCTTAACATATTTGCTCCCCTTAAACATCGAACTATCTCATTTTCCCGTTCAGCACCATGGTTTACCCCCAACCTGCGTCATCTTAAAGCTAAAGGATGCCAACTCGAACGTCTATTCATGAAAACTGGACTTACTATACATAAAGAAATGTATAATCATCATGTTTTGTTCTCTAAGGGCTGCATTGTTTCAGCCAAATACTCATACTACTCTGGTTTAATCAGTTCTAATGAAGATAACTACAGGTCTCTCTTTTCATTGTTCAGTAAAATTACAAAACCTCCAGTCATATTCCCCTTCCATATGTATTCTGCTGAGTTTTGTAATTCTCTTATCTTTTTCACCCATAAAATCTCAGATATCCACCGTCAACTTAACTCTGCAGGAGCTTCTTAATTTCCTGTTTCCCCCACTGTCTTCCTGTCAGTTATTTTCAAGCTTTACTCTTCCCTCCATAACTGAGGTATCTAATCTTATTATAAAATCTAAATCATCCACTTGTCACCTTGACCCTCTTCCCACTGTGTTAGTTAAAACCTGTATTCCCTTGTTAGCGCCTCTCATAACTAGTATTATCCATTCCTCCGTCAACACTGGAATCGTTCCTTCATCTCTGAAAAAGGCTTCTGTTATTCCAACTCCCAAAAAGCCTGGTGCAGACCCCAATAACTTTGATAATCTTCACCCTATATCAAATCTCCCCTTTATTTCAAAAATTCTTGAAAAAGTTGTCGCCTCCCAGCTTCACTTACACCTCAATAACCATAATCTCTATGAACAATTACAGTCTGGTTTCCGCCCCAATCATAGCACAGAAACTGCTCTGTTAAGGATTACCAATGACCTTCTGATGGCAGCTGATTCTGGTCTCCTATCCATCCTCATCCTTCTTGATCTTAGTGCAGCGTTTGATACCATTTCTCACAATATCCTCCTGAACCAGTTAGCGTCCATTGGCA